ACTTGAGCCACAGCGCCACTTCCAGTTTTCTGGTGGTTAATTGGCAATAAGAGTCTCACATAATTTTTCTTGCACTGGCTGGATTTGAACAGTGATACTCAGATCTCAGCCTCTTGAGGAGCTAGGATTACAGGTGTGAGCCACTGGGGGCCCGGCTAAGTTCAAATTCTTAAAGGAATAACAGATAGTCCCTGACAGTTCTTCAAAATTTAAATACAAAATTGCAATAGGATACATCAATTCCACACCTAGTATACATTCAAGACCAAACAAAACATATATTCATATAAAACAGATAGCATCCTTACCATTATAGCCAAAAAGTGGAGAAAAATCTCAAATGTTCATCAATTGGTGAATAGATAAGCAAAATATGGTATATAAAACAAAGAAATACAATTTAGCTGTGAAAAGAAATGGAGTAAAAATACATGCTATAACACATGGTTGAACATTGAAAGCAATAGGCTACATGAAAGAAGAGTCACCAAAATTTACCAATGTTTTTGATTTCATTGATGGAAAATATATAGAATAGACAAATTCATTTAAAACAAAGAAATTACTGTTTTCCTAACACTAAACAGGTAAGGGATTTTGAGGAATATTCCTAACAAGTTTGTAGTTTCTTTATTTGAATGTATGGTGAGAAAGATTTTATTTTCTCATCTTTGAGTAGCTGTACAAAGGAGTTTACAAGTGCCAAAAATATTCTAAAATTGATTGTATTGCTGGTTAATAACTTGAAGTTATCATTAATTATACTCCTTAAACTCATGAATTGTGTATATGTGAATGATATCTTGATAAATCCATTTATTTAAAAATTGTGCTTAAATATCCGACAGGAGCTAAGTGATTCTCCTATCCTGCTTTGTTCTTGTTTTCCACTCTTTCTCTCCCAAGAACTTATATTCTTCTCTGAGTCAGGAATTTCACTGATGTTTCTTAGTGTTCACTAACAAGTCACTCAGTGAAGTCTGAAATTGCAAACCTACCCCTGGGTGGCATATCATAGTCGATTATTCTTTTATACCACAATATATATCACCTCTTAATATAGCATACAGTTTTCCAATTTATTGTTTTCATTGTTTATTGTTGTAATCTCCTTTTTCCTCAGCTAAGTGTAACCTCTATGAACACATTTTTTTAAATTAAGTGACAAAGGCTTAGAACAATGCTTGGCAGTTAGTAGGTGCCAAATTATATAAATATCTGTTTCTAAAATTAACTTCTTATCTCATTATCCCAGGGAGAATCTTGAGGTGGTGAGATACTAGTTCTTCTGTCTTGAATTAAAACAGTTATTTTTCACTCTGACTTAGTAATTCCATTCTAGGGCATGTATCAAAAGAAAATAATTGAAAAGAAGAGAAAAATTGCTCATGCTTACTTTGTGACTACTTTGGGCCAGGTACTATTTCACAGCTGGTAATAATTTAAGTGATCAACAACAATGGAATACTTAAATTATGGTACATCATCTGAGTACTATATCACATAACCAATAAAATCGTAATGATAATGTTTACCAATGTGGAAAATGATTTCTGAATAGGAAAAATATATAGAAACTTTTATCTATAGCACTGATTTAACAAATGTTTATTAACTATTTGTGTTGTATCAGACCCTGATCTAGGTGATGGGATATATTCACGAACAAGATTATTCAAGATCTGCCATCCCACAACTTCATAATTAGGAAGGACAGAAAAAAAAGAAATATATAAACAAGTACACTAACTTTACAGAGTGATCATTGCTATCCAAAAGGACAGGGAAAATAATTAACTACCTAGAATGAGCCTATGGTGGTATTGAGTCTTCTCCTTTACTAAGAGCTGATTTCTCTGGAAGAATGGTGAAGATAGAAAAGATTTAACAAATGCTTGGATTTTATAATGTGGAACTGGAGAGTGTTGGTCTACAGAAAAGTTTTATTTTACCTGTGTTTGAAACCAACAGTGGTGGGGATTCAGAACTAGAAACTGGAGTCCTATGGTTGGAGTCTTGGAACTTGAGCTCCAGTGTAGCAAAAATGGATTTGAGAGCACAAATTCTAAAGAAATTTAAAGTATAATGATGTACTATAGTTTTCCTTAAGAGTTATAAGGCTGAACAAGAAGAGTATGTGGAATTACTCCTGAGTTTTAGTTTTGCTGCATTATATGGGCCACAGAGAGAGTACCTTGTAATGCATCAGTGTGGGAGAGTTGGTAGTAAATGTTCTCATCATGAAAAGTAGTTCCCTTACTATGTGTGTATATGTGAATATATATGTATAAAAACTAGAAAGCCTAAAACCATAGAAATTCTCATGTATATAAAAACTAGAAAGGGCTGAAACCATAGAACTTTTTAACAACTTCAACAATATACATTTTTGTGATATAAATAAAAAAGTACATTCTGTTTTTTTAATTCATTTTTAACTTTAATTAATTGTTCAAAGGCTTTGCCATGCAACAAAGTAGCATATGAATACAAGAATCTTGATCAATGCACCTTTTTCATCTTTCTCAGAATGTATACTCAATATTCATGGTTTAGTTATGTTTGGCTTAATTTTTATATTCTAAAGAGCTCATATTCTATTTGATGTTTCTGAAACTTGTGGTACCTACTCTCAATTCTAATGTCAAATATGGTTAAAATGTTCTGTGTCTCTGTGCATTCATGCTTGACCACTTATTAATGCATTTTGTATGAATGTTTCCAGCATACTATGCAGGTTTTTGACAGTAGTCTCATCCAAACCCTCTACTCCAGGTTTAGAGTTGTGATGGAAATATTTTAAGGAATAAAATTAAAATCATTACTGCTTATAAGATCATTAAACCCAGCACCATTCTCTAAATCTGAAAAGCAATGGCATAGAGAAAATATTTATAAAGAATACAATCTTTTATGTTTCAGTTTTTCAAAAATCATAAAACACTTATAAAGCATAATATTTGTTTATATTTTCAAACAGCAGGAAAGGCATTAGACTGTGATTCCTGAAATCTAGATTCTGCGATTAGCTTAGTTGGGAATTAGTTACATAATTTTGGAAGATTTCTGTTTTTCAAGACTTTGTTTGCCTTACTTATAAAGTTAGTTGTTATAATAGCTCTAACATTTTGTTATCTCGCTACTTCATTTCTTCTTATTTTGAAGTGTAAATATTATTTTAGAAGCATTCAAGATCTTACTTCCCCTCCTCCCTACACGTGCACGTGCACACACACACACACACACACACACACATTCATATTTGAAGATGAGTAATCCTTATCTTAAGAACAGGCATATTCTGTAAATGTGTTCAGAAAACAGCGTAACACAGATATTGAAGGCAGCTTGTTTTTAACTTGTAGCTAAACATGACATTCAAATGTTAATTGGATGAATGAATCTTGTTCATTTTACATACATGGAAATGTCAATGGAATAAAACTATTTATCACAAGATAATGGTCTCCTGCCGCCAGATAAATGCCAAGATGAAGATACTTATTGAAAATGTATCAAAATACTCTATTGCTATTTATTGAAAATAAAGGTTGAGGAAAAGTTCAACTTTTTAAGTCAAACATGAGAAATGCTCTGCTTACCCTATTAATATATTACTGTATCAGTGACAGTGTTCATGAGGTGAAAACATAGTATCATTATAAGAAATACAGTTTAGAGATGATTTCTTTTATTCTTAAGAATTACTGAACAGTGGGTTGGGGACTAGAAAAGATGTTTAAATATTATTGAGCTCTTATTTGTGTCTAACACATACCTGAATGCATTCACTAGTGTTAGCCTATGAGAACAAAATTTTAACTTTACAAGTAAAGTTAAAAGAACTTGTAGTTGCGCTGAGAGTAATTGCCAATCTCAGGGTTTAAACTTTGCCTGGATTCCAAAGTTAGTGTTTTTCCTTTATACCTTACATTTCTACTTACATTATGTAAGTTTAATACTACAATGCTTTCTAGTGTTTCAGGAATTAGGAGAATCACTGTTCACTGAAGTTTTGCTGATCCCTTGATATCAGCCAGACTCTTCTTGTTCCCCTCCATGCCCAGCAGTCTCTCCTTTTGCTGCCTACCAGACCCTGGGCATTTACCTAGTCCTTTTAGTTATCCGTATATTTTTCATATAGAAGATATATTTTTCATACTAGGAGATAAGGTACTAGAAGAAATTATGTGTTTTCTTCACTCTTTTCCCCATATTTCCCAGCAGAGTGTTTTGGAATCTATATGGTCTGTTTTAAGAAATAGAGGAAGTATTAAGGGCTGTATAAGGGCTGTATTATGAACTCATATGAATATGGAAGTCCATTTGCTTGGACCTTTACCTATGCTTGTGTATGTAAATTTTCTTTAAAACACATTAACTTTTGTTTATTTTGTAAAATTTCTTGAGGCAATGGATGAGCAGCTAATTTAACTGTTATTGAATACAAAAGATAGACTCTTGTATGTTTAAATTTCTCTCAGGAGGAAAATCCTAATCCATATAGCATTCTTGATATGTAAGTAATATATGTATTAGTAATATGTATTAGTAAAGGATTTTTTTTTTTGTGTGTGTGTGTGTGTGCCCAGTCTGGGCTTGAACTCAGGGCCTGGGTGCTTTTCTGTGTTCAAGGCTGGTGCTTTACATTTGAGTCACACCTCCACTTCTGGCTTTTTGATGGTTAATGGGAGATAAGATAGACTTTCCTGCCTGGGTTGGCTTCAAACTATGATTCTCATATCTCAGGCTCCTGAGCATCTAGGATTAGGTGTGAGCCTCTAGTGCCTCTGGCTTTTCTAAAAACAAATTATTGTCAAGATGCACAGAGGGGTTACAATTACATAAGTAAGGTATTGATTATATTTCTTGTCTAACTTGTTACCCCTTCCCTCATTTTTTGAAGAACTCATAATACTACTTCAGTACTTTTAGATAAATAATTTGCATCATCATGTCATGTAGATCACTAATTCAAGCCTTACCATGCACTTTCACAGATGGGAGACCTTTATCCCTGAAGGACATATGGGAAGGAGTTCATGAGTGCTATAAGACACGACTACTACAGGGACCATGGGACACTATCACCCAACAGGTTAGAGATTCATTTTATTGCATGCAATTCTTTCCCACTCTCATCTTTTTTCACTCCAGTCATACGGATTTTATTTCAAAGATAGTTTCCTTAAGTGCACCTTCCCAGCTAGAACCAGACTTAGTTTACTTCCCTATTATAAGCTTCCATAACACCCTATGACTTTCCTTCATAGGGCTTACCATTTTTTAATTATATATTTGAATGGTTTAAAAAAATTAATGTGTGAGGGGCTGGGAAGGTGGCTCAGTGGTAGAGCGCTTGCCTTGCAGGCTCGAGGCCCTGGGTTCGATTCCTCAGCACCACATAAGCAAACAGAAAAAAGCCGGAAGTGGCGCTGTGGCTCAAGTGGTAGAGCGCTAACCTTGAGCTGAAGAGCTGAGGGACAGCGCCTAGGCCCAGAGTTCAGGCCCCACGACCGGACCCAAAAAAAAAAAATTAATGTGTGCCTTTCCCCCAATTTTGTGAGCTCCCTTGTTGGCAGACCATGTCTATTTACCTGCTTTAGTCATTGTATACTCAACACCAGCACAGTATTTACTGAATAAGTGTTCAAAATAATATGTTGTGTAAGTAAAAACAAATTAAGGTGGTACATATAAGAAATAGATGTGTTAGCTTTCATCATCTATAATGCTTTACAGTTTTACTTATAGGTACATTTGCAAAAAAAGTCTGCAATAGTGATCTGCAAAAGTAGAAATATAGATCTGCTGAAAGGAGATATAAAAAATGGATCTGCAAAAGTAGAGAAAATAGATCTGCCAATCATATAAGTCATTATTACTTCCTTGTTAAAAATTAGCACTTAATTACTTTAGAAATTTAAAAATATCACCTTGCAACCAATCATGATCTTAAAAATAATTTTACTTATATCAAGAATCTTATTTTATCAATCCTCTGCTAAGCTTAATAAAAGCTTTATTTAAAAATTATTCTTTTGGCACTTAGAATGTTAATGCTTACTTGTGTATTTGATCATAATAATGGCAGTTTACCTTCCAATCAACATAAGAATCCTTAGTATCTCATGAGTAGTTTTTTGACAATGACTATAAGTGACCACTTTCTAGGTTGTAATTGAAGTGAAAACCAGCTTTAAGTGTCTTTCACATTGCCTCTCAAATTAATCTCTTCCCCCTTCCCCCCTTTCCCACTATCACTCTCCTAAATTAAGTCCTTTGACTTCACCGGGAACAATTTGTAAAAGCCTCTTATCTTTGGCTTTCTGCTCCTTTCCTCTCTTCCTCTTATGATTAGTTGCATCTTAACTCTCGCATACTTCTCTTATACATATGGAGGCCTGCAACAGCTCTGTGTGGACATGGTCTAAATGTCTTGCCTGGGCTTCAGTGGCTGCCATTTTCCTGCTTTCACCTGCTTTTTGAAGTTTATCTTGTACTCCTTCCATCTAAGCTCCTGCCAAACATGATTGCCTGTATGCATTTTAGGCAGCTTGTTCTTGGAATTCTTTCCAATTTTAACACCTTCCCTCTTTGTTTTCTCTGCATATTTCCTACATATTCTCTCATACACAGCTTTCTATGCAACTACCTTGGCCTCAATGGAATTCCAAGTTCAGTAAACTAGGCATATGTAGTTGCTAAGAAGCATGGTAAATGTGGTAAATGATACATAAACTAAGCAGACTTTAAGAGTTTTGGCAAGAGTACCTTACTCTGTCTAAACTATTTTTAAGTAAGGTGAAAGCTAAGAGTTTCGATTGTCATGTCAATACAAAATGCCCAAAATGTATACTATAAGGTCAAAATCCACAAGACCCCCAAAATGCCTAGTTTTAATAGTCAAGGAAAATGGCAAGGGATAGAGGAAGAAAGTATTGAAAAACAATATGCATATAACTTTTATCCTATTGTCAACAACTTCTCAATGTTTCCATTGTGCTCCTTATCCCAGCACTCTTCTTTCACTTCAGTATTGGGTTTAAACTTAATGATCTGTACTTGCTAGGAAGGCATTCTTTCACTTGGGCCATATCTCTAGTCTAAAAAAGGTAGTGTCCCTGAGTTAACTGAAATCTTGATCCCAGTTTTTATCCTTTTCCATTACTCTCAGTAGCAGCCTTGTTCATAATCTCCTTGTAAACTCTAGCCGATAGCACCCTCCCTGGTGCAATTTTGTGTTTTAATTCCATATGGTTTGTTGTATAGCAAGAACACAGAGACGCCACATTTTGAGAGGTCAAATCTGGAATCTGGCAAATGCAGGCAGACTTTTGTTGCAAAGACCTGCAGCCCTGCAAATACACTTAACACTGATAGAAAACTGAACCAAGAGAGCAGGAGAGGAAAGAAAAAGCAGAAAAACAATACCCACAAACAAGATCAGCTCCAGTGGAGAGCTGAAGTGGGATGCCATGGTAGTCGCAGAAGAGCCAGGACACAAGACATAGGACACAAGGCATGACCTAATGGCACCTAAGCTGGTCTCTGGGCATAAAAAAGGTCAGATCAAGGGTCAGGGTCACAGGGAGCTTGAGAGTTCATGACCCAATGCTGGCAGGTCCAGTAACCTATTGTTCCAGTCCCTACCCCTACCTCTGGGAATTGAGGCATGCACATCTCTTTGGAGATGGGACTTTTGTGCCTCCACCATGAAGAGAAGATGGTACCAGTTAAACCCAATACCCTATCATCCACTACATGGCCAAGATGGCACCAGTTAGATTCAGCATTCCTCCTTCAGTTTGTGTTCTGACTCATTACATAGAAACAAAATTTTTTAATTCAACTATATTTCTTAGTTTCCTAAGAAAATAAGATGTTTCCAGTAAATCCTTTCCATTAGTAGAACTCCTAAATACTTAAGTTAACCAAATTAACCAATTCATACACTAATGATTTATGTGTATGTGTACGGTCCTAGGTCCTGAACTTGTATGCTTAAGGCTAGTACTCTGCCTCTTAAGCCACAGAACCACTTCTAGCTTTTTGGTAGTTTAGTGGAGATAAGAGTCACACAGACTACTGCTTGAGCTGGTTTTGAATTGTGATACTCAGATTCAACTTCCTGTGTAGCTAGGATTAAAGGTGTGGGCCACAAGTATCTGGTTTACACTAATGATTTTATTTTACAATTAAAACATTCTTTTAAAATGTATTTTCTTTTAAAGAGGCTGTACAGAAAGGTTACAGTTACATCAGTAAGGTAATTAATACATTTCTTGTCACGCACTGTACCTCCTCCTTTGTTTTTCTCCCACTAACCCTTCCCTCTCTACCTCTCTACCTGTTCCCTCTCTACTGACTCCTTCCCACCTCCAAAGTTGTAAGGTTCATTTCCAACGTAGTGTCTTGTGAGTATCATTGTTACAATGGGTCATACTGTGTCCTTGTTTCAGCACTTTGGTATTCCCCTTCTGCTCCCCAAATTAGGTAATTATATATATACAAGATGCAAGGTATCAAAATCAAATACAGTTATATATACCATAGGAGGAAGAGCATACAAAAGAAACAAAGTAAAAATCACATAGTACATTTAAAAAAAAAACAAAGAAAAACCTCTTGTGTCCATATCTTGGGGTTCACTTTGCTTAGCATCATCTTATATGGTCATATATACATACCTTTTGAGCTTTTCTGCTCATCTGATAAGGTTATCCTAGATATATACTAATTATTGCTAATAAGGGAAAACATGGGACCTATATTTCTTTGGGTCTGGCGTACTTAATATGATTTTTTCCAAGTCTTTCCATTTCCTAACAAATGGAAAATTCTTTCTGATGGAAACCTAGAATTCTATTGTGTGTGTGTGTGTGTGTGTGTGTGTGTGTGTGTGTGTGTGTGTGTATTACATTTTCTTGATCCATTTATCTACTGAGGGGCATCTTTGTTCGTTCCATATCTTAGCTATGGTGAATAATGCTGCAATAAATGTCGTTATGTCGTTATGCTGGTAGCTTTAGCATGGCCTTGTTTGTGATCATTTGGGTAGATGCCCAGAAGTGGTATTACTGGGTCATAGGGGAACTCTGTGTAGTCTTTTGAGGAACCTCTATACTGCTTTCCAGAGTGGACACTAATCATTTTTAATAGATTGACTAATGTATCAACTTTTGGATGTTTGAATGGACATACACTACAATAGTAGTACAAATAAGATCCTTTCCTAATAAATATTGCTTTTTCTAACACCCCTGCTAGGATTTACTTAATAGGGAGATATTTGATGCATGCAGATTGCAGGCCAACTATAAAGTTGAGATAGCCCTTTGGAATTTGTCTTTATTCTTCTTACAACACTGCTAATGGCAAATTTCATTTAAGCCTTAAAGTTACTCAACATAATGCCTTAAAGAGTATCTGAGAAAAGCTCATTTGTAGCCATTGTACTATATGATATTTTCAAATCATAGCTAGCTAGCTAGCTAGATCCTATTATATATATTATTTTACATACATATTAGATATAGTATGAATATGTTAAATATTAGACATATTAGATACATACTAGATTTATATCATAGATATATACCTAGATATATATAGTATCTATCTACCTATTTCTTTTAAAGATGTTGATTTTTAATTCCAGATTGGCTAATAAGTTACTAGTTTTGTCTTTTTATTTGTTTGAGATCTTTAGGAGAATGGATGTGCAATTTTATAAGACCTTCATGGAGAAAAACAAACAAACAAAATACCTCAGTGGATGGATGGGGGAGGGTGTGATACAGCCCTGGAGAAGAATTAAACTGGTGGAGTATTGTGGGACAGAATAGTAGACATCATTTTACAGAATTATACTTAAGGAATCATTAGCTTCCACACTGAACATGATAATAATATGCTGTCCTCCAGAATGGCTTAAAAACAAAAGCAGCCTTTGCATAATATAAAATGCATTTCACTTCATTTTCAGACCTGATTGTGCTCATATAGTTTGTTGCTCTTCATCTTTAGTAATCACACTTCTGTTGTCTCAGAATTTGTCTTGATGATAGGGGCCTGTTCATGTTATACATGAACCCT